TATCATCGTCAAACCTCGAATACGTATCGAGAACCACGTACCGGTCACATCACATCACCCATCGCTTTCCGTAGTATCATCATATGCCTTCTATTGCATCACAATAACTCTCCCGTCGTCGGATCAGCCTGACCAGGGGCTGGCCTCCACGTCCCCACCGCAGCCCTGGACGAAATGGGCGTTATCAGAAAGAAGACCGTCACAAGGGGTGGCGAGGGCGGTGTCAAATATCATTGCGACATTTGCTCTGTAGACATCACCTCGACGGTACGTGTTTTGTTGACTTTGTTCCCATCGATGATGATATGCCCCGCGCCTGCGTTCCGGCGCATGCCCAGATGTCCCGCCCTCTACACCTCGCGCATCGCGCTAACAAACATCTGTTGTGATTGCAGGTCCGAATCAGATGCGCGCACTCCGCCTGCAACGATTACGATCTCTGCGTTCAATGTTTCTCCCAGGGAAAGTCCAGTTCAAACCATAAACCCGAATCACATCCATACCGTGTTATCGAACAAAATTCCTTCCCAATCTTCGACCGAGATTGGGGTGCCGACGAAGAACTGCTGCTACTAGAAGGAGCGGAAATCTACGGCTTGGGATCATGGGCCGACATTGCCGACCACATTGGCGGCTTCCGCCACAAGGATGAGGTGCGAGATCATTACTACAAAGCCTACGTCGAATCTCCGCGTTTCCCGTTGCCGAAACGATGCAGTCCTCACGACATGGACCTTGCGAACGAAATATCTCGGGAAGACTTCCAAGCGAAGAAGAAGCGAAGGATAGAGGAGCGGAAGGAAGCCGCCAAGAACGCACCTACGCTGCAGCCCAAGACGAAGCCCACGGCCTCTGTACCGTCATGTCACGAGATCCAAGGATACATGCCAGGTCGCCTGGAATTCGAGACCGAATACGCAAACGAAGCCGAAGAAGCTGTACAACTCATGCAGTTTGATCCGGGCGATGGCCTCAACCCTAGGACAGGCGAGTTGGAGCCCGAGATGGAGCTCAAGTTGACAGTGATGGATATCTACAACTGCCGTCTCACGCAGCGTGTGGACAGGAAAAAAGTTGTGTTTGAGCACAACCTGCTGGAATATCGCGAAAATACCAAGGTCGAGAAGAAGAGGAGCAAGGAAGAGAGGGACCTGTTGAACAAGGCCAAACCTTTCGCTCGAATGATGAACCACGATGACTTTGAAAGTTTATGCCAGGGTCTCATTGACGAGCTGAACCTGAGGCAAGCTATCTCGCAACTGCAAGAATGGCGAGGCGTGCGAATCGGAGATTTACGCAGCGGAGAAAAGTACGAGACCGAAAAGTCACAACGAGCGCAAAAGGCAGTGCCTATGGGATCTATGGATAGAGACCGCTTGGCTTCGGCACAGCGGTCTAAGGCTGCTGCTGTACCAGATCCCCCAAGCGGCGCCGCCTTGCTCGTGGCCCCCGAACTGCCGATCCGGTCTGCGCCAGCTCCTGATGGTACTAATGGTACCATTCCTCCCAAGGAAGAGAGCAAACCTCAGACCAATGGTGCTGTCAACGGAGCAGCCGCCAATGGTACCGTCATTGTCGCCAACGGTACAGGCCCATCTGGTCCTGTTACACGGCAGAAATACATGGCCGCGCCGCTACCCGGGGTCACCCCGATCCAGCTTACGCAAGACGGCGCGCCAGACTTGCATCTTCTCACGCCAGAGGAAGCCAAGCTCTGCGAAGTGGTGCGGTTGCAACCCAAGCCTTACCTAATGATAAAGGAGCAGATTCTCAAGGAGGCTTTGAAGAGCAATGGCACTCTCAAAAAGAAACAGGCCAAGGAAATATGCAGGCTAGACACGCAAAAGGGTGGCCGCATATTCGACTTCTTCATCAATGCTGGCTGGGTTGGCCGGGCATAGAACGATTCGGACGGTTCAAATGATTCGGTCGATCCGGATGTATCCATAGGTTCTACGCACAGTGTGTGACTTGCATTCGACTTTGAGCTTCGGCGTTTCCGTCAAAAGGACGAAGGGGGGGGGGGTATCGTTTTTTGGGAGTAGCGGTTTGGCTTCTATAGGACAGTTCAAAGTGTACCAAGATACCAAATTCAAAATGGCAATAACTTGCTCATTTCTCCGCGCGGCATTATGAGATGTTATATCGCTACACATGTTATTGATGCATACCATTTTCCTCCACCCTGGCATTACACTCACTCGGTCTGTGACTTGATAGTGTGTTTACGGGATGAGCAAAGGTCACCTTTTCTGTAACAGGGACAATCCCTCCCGCAAGCTAGGCGGTCAAGGACTAGTAGAGTACTCGGTGAGGCCTTAGCTTCTTCGCCCTCGCGGCTGGCATGGCGTTCCCAGCAAAGAGCGATTGCTACTGCGTCTTTGGGAAGCTGGTCTCTTCATCGAAGGCCTCCCCGTCGTCGCTGTCTTATTGAACGAGGTCGACGGGCGAGCGGAGTCGCCTTATTTGCCGGAAGTTTGATGAGCCGGATGCCAAAGTCATTCGTTGGTTGGGCTCAGGGAAGTTGCTTTTCTAGAAATGTCCGGCAGAGGAAATGAAGTAAAGTGCGGTTTTCCAAGGTTCTCGGCGGCTTTTTGGACGCTCAAGCTGAAGTGTGGTTCATTATCTCCGCTTGACTTCTCGTTTGTGATTTCTCGGGCGGCGGGCTTCTGAGTAAGTAACCTACAAGAAAACGGGAGCCTTGAAGGACGGGGGGAAGCTTAACTGGAGAGGAGTGTGATGTGAAGAAGGTGGGCGATGAAGGTTGGAATCCAGGAGATATCTTGGACTTTATGGAAATGTCCTGCAAATACAATAACGTGAGTTTCGGCGCGTTTCTTACGTGCTTACCGTAGGTAACGCAAGGTAATTCATGACCGTCAGCGGTCTCGAAGTCTTCCTTACATATGACATGATGTCAAGGCTTCATAGAGCGCAGTTTCATCGGCGGATTCTCACCGAATGGCAAGGAAAACGCGAAAGCAAGGGGCTATAGGTCATGGCTGCCGTCAGGGTATGGCATCAATGACGTCCATGTTGACAGCCAAAAGAAGCTCGCCTGGTCCGCCTTGCAGACACACCGGAATTCCCACAACTTATCCCAGCGCCCATTCCACATTCAGACTGCGATAATGAGAAAATTCGCACTATTTCGGATCAGTTTGGCGCATGTATCGCATCGGAGAAGTCGCCGGACAAGGAGGGAACCAAGGAACTGTATGTCATGGCCACTACTCAGAATTCGAAGCCATCCATGCATCTGATGACATGGCGACATGTCTACCTAGATGAGTCTAACGCCATGGACTACAAAAAGCCCCCGTGTCAGCGCACCCAATTCTACAGCCATGGAACGAGACTCTCGAGACGAGTATGCATACTCTGAGACATGATCCGAGATTCTTGGAGGATATGGGCAGCGAATGGAAGCTGAAGGACAACATGGGTCCTGAGGTTCAGCAGCAACGTCTAATTGTCCTACAAGCGAGCGCGCTCTTCGCCAGAAGCATGCTGAATCAATATGTGCAACAATGATCAATGGAATTACGACGGATTGTTTGGGTATTTCACTCCTGAGCACTTACGGCCCAAAGACACCAAGATTTCGCATACATTGCAGACTGGGCTCTCATCGCCCTTGATGAGACCAAACATGGGAACCCGCCGCGTCAAGTGGAAAACCAAGAGTATCTGGATGATAACGCTGAGATGATTGACGTGCTGGGCAAAACGCCCGGGAGGCGTCGTGCATCCAAATGTTCATGATGGTACCCTCGCTTTGGATTGCGTAGTGCCTTTGTCAGACCTCTTCCAAAAGGGAGACTCACCATTGATAGTTGACAAGATGGGACGCACCAGCGGGCACACTTGTGGCGTGTCGAATAGCGTCAAGTCAGTCATTCGGCAAATCACATTGGCAGGTCAAGCATCAAATCACAATAGTAGGGGTATCTTGCTAGCGAGTACTGTGTGGTTGACATTGAAGCATGGGTCTTCGGTATGACGAAGTTTGATGCCACGATCGCTTAGAGATTTCAGTTTGTTCGCCATGACCAAGAGAACGGGTGGACCAGAGCACATGGCTGCTACATGTCAAATTCTGAAAGGGTCTAGAGACGTCCCTAGGCCAGAAAGATCCTCAGATCTAGTATCATGCAATAGGTTAAAAAAGAACCCCCCTTGGAGAATTCTAAGCTAGGAGACCGTGCTCCGTCTTTCTCTGGTTGGCGTTGTGTCAAGAGCAGGGAACCCTCATGCTTTGCGGGTCGTGTTGGGTCTGTTCATCGGCTCATTCCATTATGCATAGTTTTGATTGAACTCTGTGTCGACGCCCTCGGCACCCTAGTCCCTGTGCATGTTCCTCATGTTGGATTTCCACACGGCCGAATGTAATCTTGTTTGTCAACTGCGGCCCAGCCGCTACACTTTGCCCGCGCTCAGCATGTAGCAGATATCACGGATGAGCAAAAGCATGTGAAAGAACTTTTGTGGAATTGACTAATTGGGTATAGGTACTCCCGATGATTAATTATACAGATGAACCCGAGCTTGGTGGGTGATTCAGGAGGCCGCCGCATGGGCAATTATTTCCCTGGGGCTTTTCCAACACTTGGTTTCTCCCCGCCAAACCATCTCCCTAATCTCGAGCGGGCCTCAATGAGACTTTTTTTCCGGCAATGGATGAGTCAAGAACCCATCTACAGGACAATGGCACCGACGATGCCGGCAGCGGCAGCGGCAGCAGCGACAAAGAGTCCAGTCTCGCGGGGAGCAGCAGCGGCGGCGGCGGCAGTGGTAGAAGCAGCGCTACCGGAAGCAGAAGCACCAGAAGCTGAGGCAGAAGAGCCGGAGCGAGAGGCGGTAGCAGAGGCGGAAGCTGAGCCAGAAGCCGTGCCGGTGGCGGTGGCAGCGGAGCCGGAGCCGGTGGCAGTGGCAGTGGCAGTAGCATCGCCGCTGGTGAGGACGGCGAGGGCGGTAGAGCAGATTGCGCTGCCGTAGGCGTCCAGGGCGGACGCGACCTCCGGGACGTCGCTGCAGGCGGAGTAGATGTCACGGATCTCGGTGATGTGGGCGTCCTGCCAGGACTGGAGGGCGGAGGAGTAGGAGGTGATGATCTGGCCGGCCTGGCCCGTGATGGAGGGGAAGACGCAGGGGTCAGTAATTTGGGGGATGTCGAGGTTGGTCTCCGTGGCGAGGGCGGTGGGCTCCGTGGGGAAATCGTCGACAATGGTGGAGTGAGCCATCCAGACGGAGGCGCATGCGGTCTCGTCGCGAGCTTCGAGGGCATCGTTGCCGGCGCGGCGGAGGACACGGGGGAGGGTGCCGGACATCTCGAATGCCATTGCGCTGCTGGCGGCGGCGGCGGCGAGGAGGAGCTTGGACTGCATTTTGGGAGGTGATTGAAGTGTTTATGCCTTGCGAGGGAAGCGAGAGTCTAGGGTCGTAAGGACTGTAGGTTGCCGTGATGTTGTCTTAAGGATTGGCTGCTTGGAAAGTTGGAGAGACAGGATACACTTGCAGTTGGAGCCGTGTGTTGTCGTGGAGGAGAGGAGCGCATGCCTTTTATCAAAGATTGACGAGGAAGTCAGCCGTCTCTTGCATCCTTCCTCTGTACCCTTGTCAGGTACTTGAACATCCCTGCTCCATTCACGTCGCCCAGCATGCCCAGCGGCTTCCCATCCACCCACATTCGCCCCAGAGAGCTGTGGATGATGTTGGGAACCACAGAACGATGCCTCCAGTCTATCCAGGTGTGCCACGACAAGGCCTCTAGCGCAAGGTACCTACCCGTCAGTAGCCTTCAGCCGAGCCGCCGAGACAAGATGGTGGCTCGAGTGGCTACAAGGTCCCCAGTGCCCCCCTGATATGGGCAGAAGCTGAGAGTCGTGAGTCGTGAATGGAGCGGTGGACCTTGGTATTGGTACCTATCAGCGGTTGCTGCCTGCAGAAGCCCGAAAGGGGGGAGGGAACGGGATATTGGCGGCAGACATTTGTGATGCAATGATCAGCCATTGCCTGCCGAAGGCAATTCCTTCGTCGGAATATGATGCCGGGGGCGAGAATTCTCGAATCGGCTGGCCACACGCACGGCGCGTAGCGTCCTATCGAGGCGAAGCCGCGAAGCTAGGGAGGAAAGATTTAGTCCAACGGCAATGCGGCACGCCGAAAGGTAGCAGCGTCGCGTTCCATTTCGTCACATTAGATTCAATGTATCGATCATTCGCAGCCAAGAAGGAAAAATGCTGGCTCGCTGGGACGCGGTTCAACACAGCTCATAGCTCTCGATGAAGCAAGCTTCGAGACTCTCGAAATGGACGGCAACCTGCAGATATCCATCCGTACCTGAACTCGTGCTCTGCACGGCGGCACGCACGGTCACATGGGGTGATAGTTTTCGCGGCAGGGCATTCCCTGTCCGCACCCGAAGGTGGGAGTTCCTAGCAGATTACCTTTTGCAATATGTCAGGGGTTCGTTCAAGGCTTCTGTTGCTGGTCTGAACTGAACATGCTTGGATAGGAAATCAGAAATGGCGATCCGATATCTTTTTGCGTTTTTCTATGGTTTAGGGTCAAAAAGTCCCTTTCACTGCCTTATTTACTCGCTTAAACATGGATGAGCATGGAACGCATGGGACCATTTGATGGATCATGGGTGCTAGGCTTCTTCTCATGGATGATGGAGGTTCCATGTTGAGTGGCCCCTGGGCTCGCCTGATCGTTCATGACCAATGAAGCTTCTAGGAACACTCCGAAGCTATTAAGATTGCGTGGGCCCAGCGATGGAGACTTCGAGATGACTTGATGGAATGTGATTCGTTGCGTGAGGTAAACAACAACGGGGAGGTTTCAAACTTTCAGAGGATTTGGCTCGGGTCTTTGCCATCCATGCACCGTTTAATGTGCTGGTGCTCTTGCAAAGTACCGCCGACAGAGACGGTTTTTGACAGTTCTTAGCAGTCATGAAGTCGGGCGTGCAACTTTGACGGTTCTGTCGATCCCTTCTCGCCATGACAAGTTGGATATTTTGGCGAGCCCAGTACCTATGACAGTTCAGAACCACAAGTCCACAGAAGGATGTTGGTTCCCCGCATAGAAACACAAAGCTGTGCTTAGAGAGAGTCTGGGCTGAGGTCACGGCGAGATGTAGCCCCTCCTTTCTCCTTCTATTATCATGTAATAGTCAGCATCCGTCAACCCCCAGAGTTGGTAAATGTACCGCAATCCAGTTTTGAATTCCCTTCAGCTCCTTTGTACCATCAGAGTCAACGAAAGCCGATAAACCGGTAACCGTTGCCGCTGTGCCGCTGTTCAATTTCACTTCTTGCAAGGGACACTCACAGCTACCGTCTGCAATAACTGCACTGCATTGAGTGCTTGGCCACCTAATTACCATACAGCTAGCTACTTGCAGTAGTTCTTCTCTGTTCCTCTCTAGCCTCTTCTAGCCCTGTTCGGGCCTGGATCCGGCACCGCCTCGCTACGTTGCATTCATGCGGTCGCTAGTGCTGACGGCGGCATCTCGGGCGCCCTCTTGTCGGCCAACCACGGCTGTCCCTCCACCCCTCTTGACATGTCACCACGTTCAGAAGGTTTTAATCGTCTACTCCTTTTTCTTGTTTGACGTTGCTAGTCGATCGCTGGTAAGTCACGACGGGTTGGGGGCTGCGCGCGAATATTTTCCCGATACGCCCGACAGGGCGCGCCTGTTGACGTCGATCCCTTTGACGTTCGAGTCAAAACAGTGGTGACAGTTGAACCAACAGAAGAAATCGTCGGTCTTGGCAATGAGGCTCGATCGCGGAGAACCACCTACTAGGGACTCGCCACTCGCGAGCGGCAGAATTGGGTGAGAAGACTTCGGTATCGCTACTTTGTTTGGAATAGACCTTCCAATAGTGCAGCCCTAAAGCCTTGTCAAAGTTTTCTTCAACGTCGGAGAGGCATGACATACTGGGATCTCGAGATTTTATGCTGCAAACCCCTAAGGCGGTCTCCGACATTGACGGACTTTTGCCGAACACGCCGGACCATATAGGCAAAGACTGGAGGTGTTCAGGCGGGCAGAAAGCACAACAAATAATGTCTCACACGGTGATCGGTATTTCTGATCACAGCTTCGAAGGCTACCCTGCTCCTTGTCTTTGGGACCGTCTTTGTAGGCAGGTTGACGAGTAGCATACACAATAGAACCTGAAAAGGAGTCGAAAGTCGCCCGGCTCCCACATTTCCAGTGCCCAAGTCAACGACTATCGCTGATCTTTGGTCTACTTCCTTCTGCCTTGAACAGCATGCTTGAGTTAGTGTAGATACGATCGGAGTTATCTGGCCACTGAAGGGAACTGGGTTTCATGCGAAAGAGAAGACAATGGCTCAGACCAAAACATGCGAGAGCTACACAGGCGTTCATCATCATATGTCACTGGCCACCGAGGGGAATTGACGAACAAGTGACTGCTTGCTTCTGCTGCCAAATATACACATTTTGTCGTCAGCAAGTCCCAGCCGTTGTCATTGCGGGCCGCGTAGTTTAAAGTTGTGCTCAAAGACCAAGGCCGTCAGCCGGTGCTGACGCTGGCGCAAGCCACCTCCATCGGCCCTTCAGCCATTCGACGTCCGTCCCTCGGTAGGGCTGACATGCATCACGACGACAAGGCTCTATTCGACCGGACCACCGACCACCGTCATTTAGCGACACAGCAACTCAGCACTCATGTTGCTGACATTGGCATATGCAAACGGCACGTCAGCGCACCTGCGCGGTGTCTAATTCTAGCTTTGATACGTTGCTTAAGAAGAAGTGGATGCCCAGTTGAGGGGGCAGAGCTTGACGGAGACTTGAGCCTCCAACTTGTTAATCCACGGTCCGTCATGAAGACCTTTTCCACCCTCGTAGTTGCCACATGCTGGCTGTTCGTGGCTTTAGCCCACGGCCACACAGTCCTCTCCTACCCGGGTTGGAGAGGCAACACTTTCATCACAAATGAGACATACCCCTTTGGGATGAAATGGACCTACCCATGTACGTCACCAAAACGCTCATATCTTGCAACGCACACCAGAAACCAAATTACACATATTTCGCTATCCAAGGGCTGACATGAACCCCCCTCCCCGCAGGTGGCGGCCTCGGCGTGACGCAAAACAGAACCTACTGGCCCATCAGCAGCGGCGCCCTTGCCGTCCAGCCGGGCTGGAACTCGGGACACAAGATGGCGCTCATGTACATCAACCTCGGCCTCGGCGAGTCGCCGAAGAACTACTCCATGGTCATGGTGCCCCGGTTCCAGCTGACGGGGCCCTCGAACCAGGAGTACGAGGGGACGTTCTGCCTGCCAAAGGTGCCGCTGCCCGCCGGTGTGACGCCCAAGGAGGGTGATTTGGCGTCGATACAGGTCGTGGAGGCCGCACAGCATGGTGCGGCGTTGTTCAGCGTACGTTGTCTTACCAAGCGTTACCACTTTTCCAAATATTGCATGTTTCGTGGAAGTGTGCAACGCTACTAGGAGGGGAAAGTGCGGGATGAGATCGTGTGGCTGACGGTGATAGTGTGTTGATATCATCTTTACGGAAGACGCGTCAAAGGTCAACGAGGTGACAGCGGATAACTGCTTCAACTCAACGAATCTCAAGGTTGAAGCGGCGACGCTCGAGACGAATTCTTCGCCTATTACTGATCCATCGGCACCGACGACCACGACTACTACTACGCCGAGCGCGTCTCCAACTAGTGGAGCTCCCCGGTTGGCGTCAAGCTTTTTCGGTCTCTTGGGCTTGTTGTTGTTTGTTTGAAATGCCCCGGCAGGAGACGGTCTTTGACGTACACGCATGTCGCCGGATAAAATTTGAAGTGCTGCAACGTTATTACCCTTTGTGCTAGTGGAGTAGGATTATTGCTAATTGAGGATATCACACAGAGGGGGAGACTTTGCGAGATGAGACGCTCACTTTCACATACTTCTTGGTTCATGTTATGCAGAAGGCGTTGTGATCTTTGGGGTAATCCTATGGACTCATTCCCTCTCTAGACCTCGAAATGATAAGACCTCCCCATCCTGAGTCCACATGTCGACCGTGACCTACTGTAGCCCGCAATCGCTTGACGTCTAACCTGCCCTGAGACATCAGGTATGCCGTTCTTCAACGTAGCAGGGATTCTTAATCATGCTAGCTCCATGTTCACCTCCATACCTCCCCACTCCATGACGCAGAACTTGCCCTGGTCCTCCATCACGTCCACGTCGATGCCGACCATACTGGGCCAATCCAAACTCTCCAGTTTCGCACGATTATCTTCGTCCTTACCACCGACTACGCCTCTAAAAACGAGAAAGACTCTGGCGACTGTGCTAAACTCGGAGTGACGGTTAACTTGGCCGCTCTCTCAAAATCGGTTTGCGGGATAAAGTTGAATGCGATCTGAAGGCCCCTGTCGCGTATTGACCGGAACTTGGGGAGCCAGTATACAATCATCTCGGTCCGCATTGCCGGGGTGAGGGCGAGGCTGGTGAGGGTCCGGTCGAGGTAGGGTACGAAGTCGTCGAAGGAGAGGACGTAGGTGTCGGCAAAGTACGCTAGAGGATTTTGGGGGTTGAAGCCATGAGTCTTCGTGACGTCGGATAATGGGTCGGCAAAGGTATCAGCTTCCCAGAACAGGTAGCTGCACTTGACGCCTGTGGCGGTGTCCTCCAGAGTGCCATCCGGCTCGGCAGAAACCTACCAGGAGACATCGTTTTGCCCAGCAGCGCCTTCTACGAGTGGATAGATGGTAGAGAAGCTCCAATGAAGAGATAGCTCGACCTTCACATCGACATTATTGAGTTGGATTGGTGAGAAGAGGTAGATTGCCGGTTTTGCACCATGCATATTGGTCCTCCAATGGAAGGTGGCGTTCTCAATGACTGAACATTCCCTCAATGTTTCTTCATCTGCGCGTATTCGACCCGTATAAATGATCATTTGTTGATCGGGATAGAAGCTCGATTCGGCCTGTATGGCGAGTTTGATGCTCATGATGGTGTTGGCCGTTGACATCCTAAACGAAAAGATTTTACCAGTCACTGTAGTAATGTGTCATGTGTCAGCTCGCCATCCGAAAGGTTTTCATCCTCGGACTCGAAACCTTAACAGTCTTGACTTTGAAATTAACGAATACCGGGGATGGCCCGGCGATGTCACCGGAACACACTCGTTCCCGCTTAGGCACCTCCTGAGGTTCATCCTCGAGCTTGATGATCGGCGCAGCCTTTGGCTCCAAGCGAAGGACCCAACCGTCCTCGACCACTCTGCATGCTGACTGATCAAGTTCAAAATCCGGTTCTCTAGACTTCAGAGTGCAATGAACAGTCAGGTTGACGCTTTGCTGCCAAACACATCCCGAGCGTCATCCATGAGTTGACGGTAAGTATCTGGACGGGCGGTGAGACGACGGCGGTCTACGAAGACCATCATGATCAAGGGAGTTGAAGACATCGTGAGGAACGATCCTCGAGTCCTCAAGAGGTGGATTATCGGTATCTGTATTGGAAAAATGCCGGCTCCCTACTTCGGGTAAATCAGTGGCTTGATTATGGTTGAGGTGAGGCAGAGCAGAGAGTGGTTGACAGTTGTAAGGGTGAAGAATATGATTGAGAAATGAACTTGATCGGTGAGATCTCAGTGAGAGATGAGCGAGGATGATGATGGGAAAGAGCGATCAATCGAAACGAGTCGAGGCTGAGAAGGCGTGAGGAAGGGGTGGAAGGTGGGAATGGAAGTTGTTGGTTGCTCTTGCCTGATTCTAGAGACCTGCCAAAGGGAAGGAAGGAAGCATCTTAAAGAGTACCTTCCTACATAAATGTGTCTCGAACTCGGCAAGCTGACGGCAAAGATTTTGAAAGTGCAGACACGTCCGCCCGGAAAATACGAAAGGAAGTGCATTGAGTATCAAGGGAAGATGGAGTTGACTGCTGTCTTTTGGCAAAAAAAAAGAAGAAGCTCCGTTCACAATTAAATGGGCCTTTGTGGCTCAAACGATGTCATTTAAATAGCTTGTTAGTTAGGCTAATGGTCCAACTTCTCCGGGATGGATCTCCAGTACTCGATGGCCTCCCTTCGAATATCATCCTTCTCGAGCCATGTCTCATTCTTACTAACGTTAACTTGCCACCCTAGACCGTCTGAGCCTGGGTCATTGTACTTCTTCCATTCAGCGGCGCCTGCAGCTTTGAACTCATTCGGGTCACCACTAACAACAAAGCTGGCGTAGAACCTAGATAGAGTGGTCCCAGCTTGCGGGTATTGCGTATCCGGCTCGGCCCAGGCATATGGAACGTCAGAGCCATGCGAGATTCCGAGGTACGAAGCCACGCTGTTATTGGTGTTCCAGTGCAGCTTCCATACAGGAACATCTGCGGCAGACAGGCGCGTCGCAATCTCCTGGGAGGCGCTGATATAGGATGTGTCGCCGTAAACCGCAGTAAGTCGAGTGAACTGGGCAGATTGGCCCTGAGAGTCTGCAAAAGGGCTTGCAGGGTCGGTCTCGGGATCCGGGTAGAGGCGAGAGAAGCCCTCTCTATCACTTTCGTTGAGGCCGGGGTAGAGATTGGAGAGCCAGCTCCATGCTTCATCGTCCGTGGTCAGGTTGGTGGGAGCGTACAGACTGCCCTCGTCAACGATAAAAGATGTCAACGCCGGCAGGTGGTTCCATGTGTCAGAGTCCCAGGTTTCGGACGGGAGACGCGGAATGATGATAGCGTCTGAGGAGCGAGTTAGTCTCACGAGATTTGCAATCATCATCCTGCGATGTGTGGCGACATCCTTGAGAAGAAGGAGGTATACTCACCGGACACAGGCTGGAAAGGGTGGGTGCCGTTGTATCGATACGCCGCTAACAAAGCAGTCGCCGTCTCCTCAAGTACTTCAACATCCACATCTCTCAAGCACGAAAGCAAAATCTCGGCGGTTTCATTGCTCTGACAGCCAACTCCGCTCACATATTGCTCAAACTGCCTGACCGTCAACGGGTCCGAAGCGCTGGGAAACGACCGCCCCGTCGGGCCGCCAGACTGGAAGATTGCCTGCTGGAATAGTTCTTCGCCAGGAGTGAAGGTATTCTGGTAGTGGAAGCCTACAGAGTGAGCGCCTGCTGACTTGCCGCCCAGAGTGACGCGTTTGGGGTCACCTCCAAATGCGGAGATGTACCGGTGGACGAAGCGGAGAAGCTGGTGTTGGTCCTGGAGACCGAGGTTGACGTTGCCGAGGTCTGAGAGGACGGGGTTTGCTAGAAAACCTAAGGCGGCCAGCTGAGAAATTCAGATCAGTGGAAACCCTCAATTCCAGCAGATTGAGAATGGACATACTCTGTAGTTGAATGTCACGACAATTAGTGGTTCTGGAGAGGAGGCAACTAGTGAAGCTCCATCAAAGGTGATACCAGCGCCGTTGCGGAAAAGACCCTATAAGCTTGATCAGTCGGCTGCTAATTGAACTCAGTCATCCAAGAGGTTGGAAAGAAACTCACGCCGTGAATCCAAACCAAAACGGGTAGCTTCTCATCAGCGCCTACACCCGTCGGCTTGTAAACATTGAGATTAAGGCAGTCCTCGCCGTATTTTAGTCCGGTCGTAATGTAAGTGATCAGGTTTGAGTTTCCTGGCTCTTGAATACAGACTTTGCCATACGAAGTGGCGTTCTTTGTCCCATTCGAAGAAGATGGCCAACCGACCGGGGCAAAACGAAGGTCGCCGATGGGTTGTTCTGCGTAGTCGATGCCATACCATGCGTCCACCGGACTTGCGAGCGGGTAACCGGACGTGGTGTTGAACAGAGTCTTTCCGACATATGATCCGTACGATGGAACATGAACAACCCGAGAGCTGTTGCCGACGACTGGACTTCCTGATGCAGCAACAAAGAGCAAGGCGCCAATGGCTCCAGCCCTGAGCCGGGAACCGCCTTCAGTATGCGACGCGAACATGGCGACGAACACAGACGGAAACACGGTTGAAAGACGGTGAGTTGGGATAACTCTAAGAGTTGAAAAACCATTTCCAAGACCCCCTCTTCCACCATTTATATGAGGTTACATAGAGAGATAGAGCCGATTACATGCCGGTGGTTTCACCCCTCTTGTCGTTGACATCCTTGTAAGTCCCACAACCAAGGTCAAAATCCCCGCCAGAAACTGATCGCGCAAGAGCTGTCTAAATGACGAGACTTGCAAAGACAGAAATTGTTCGTAGTCTTTGAGTCGGCTTCCATTGTGCTACCTCTCATGAGGGCTGGAAACATTTCAGGGAAAGTGAAGTTGCGGTTTCCATTGGTCAAAGCCCTTCATAACTTCTCAACGACCAGGTAGTCGATTGAACAATGAATGCATCATGAGTGATTTGATGCTGTAGATCTCCAGGACCCCCTGCCCTTGGGATCTTGGCACTCAGGAACATTTTTCTTCAGCACATTTATCGGGGGCTATCAATGATCCATGTCCAGAGCGATAGGCAGGCTTTCGGAGATAGCGAGCTGAAATCTTAAGGATCAAAAGTGAAATCTAGACCTTGTTATCGCGGCTTCGTGATCCCAGACCCTCATTATCGAAATCTTTCCCCTCTATCTTGACATTTGGGGAAGCTTGAAGCAAAGTTGAGTAGTGGTGTCAAAGACCGAGAACGGCTGGACCCGCCGCGGAATCCGGGGACTATGCCGGCACCGGAGCTTCGTTTGCCTGTCGCAGATGGGCAGTACATCAAATGACATGGGTCAGGCCCGCGGATCTGAATACTTTATGACCTTTGCATCGATGCTCCGTAGAGCCGGTCACCCTATCAGCCAAGTCGCGCGCTGCAGCGACACACACACACAAGCCCAATATGACGGTATCCGTAATGCAGACATACTTTGTATTTCATTAATTGAAAAAAGTCTCATCATTCCCTCAATTTCCTCTCAGCCACACCATGTATTTTGCTTGGATATTCATGTTTACCATCACCTCGTCACAGCCCACTCTAATCTCTATACACACCACAACTAACTACATTTACCTTACTCTCTATTCATCATCACCGGACAGCCTCCTGACCTCTTGCCCTCAACTACATCAGTGTGCAATTTGCTTATATCCTCCGCCGACAGCTGGACATCCTGTGCCACCGCCTCGTCGAACCTCGCTTCCGGGCCGCGGTTATCAGTCTTGGCCTCCTTCTTCACCACGCCATCCGGGGCAATCTGCCGGAACATCTGCAGCGAGTCGAACCATGTGTCTACGCCCTGCAGACGCAGCTGGTCGTCCACACGCGCGATCGTCACACCTTCAATGTCGATCTGTCCACCATGAGCCTTGGCGGTGACCTTGTCTCCTTTGCTGTACACGTGCGCTTTTGTCAGTCGCAGTTACACGGCCACAACCCGAACAAGAAGAAAATGACAGATGTCTGCTAACTGAGGGTGGCAAAGCAGCGGCATGCCGAACAGAGGGGCAAAGGAGCACACTCACTCGTTGAAGCCGACGTAGTCATTCTTCATGACCCCCCAGTGACGCCACTTGAATGCGATGCACGGCGGGCCACTATAGACCTCAATGACCTCCCAGGCAAAAGTGGGCATCATGCGCTTGAACGTCTTGTGGCTGGACGCAAAGTCTGAGTAGTCTGGGCTGTAGTACTCGTTGGGCGTGATGACGGCGTTATAGGTGCCGACCTTGAGCATGTGCTCGCCCGTCTGCGGTGCGCCGCCGTTGACGGAGAAGGTGTAGTTGGCGTGGTCGACGGTCCTCCAGTCGTCGAGCTTCGTCTTGAAAGAGGCCTCGACCTCCCAGTTCTTCACCAGGTTCTCTACAATCTCTTCGAGACTGCCCGCCTTGTGGTTCATCTTCCTCCCTGGAAGAGTAGTGTTGTCAGCTTGGGCCCTCATAATACACTGGGTAGGTGCACGTATGACACATTGAGAGTGATGTAATCTCACCTTCTCTCCAGACTTTGCGTGTTCTCGTGTAATCTGGCGCCCTGCCGTATCTCCATTGAACACCCTCATCGCTAAAGACGGCGTTGGGTGTGGTGACATAATCCGGCAACACATTTCTCTGCGCGGCCGCAGCCTGCGGCGTGGGGTCCTGAGCATTTACGATAACCATGTTTGGCGATGGGAAGCTTTCGGCGTTAAGGAGTTTCGAAATGAGTGAGACGAAAGAGGCTTGTTGGCTCTTTAATAAGTTCTTGGAGAAATCTGCCACCGGGGGGGCGTTTGTTGTCGCACGCAAGTCGGTGGTGAAATATGTCTTAGATGCGCGTGGAAGAGGGGAGAGACACGGGGCGTTATACAAGTCCTCTTTCTTTTCTTTTCCCCTCCAAAGAGTGGTGGCAATAGTCCGTCAATCACGGCCTTTCCCTGAAACGGAAATCGCAGCGGGATGGAGAGAAGGAAGGGAAATCGAATCACCCCAGGCACTCAAAATAACCTTCCAGTCCGCGCCGCAGGATCGGGTGGGAAGTCTTCTGCAACGCGTGCTGCAATGGGACGGACGAGGGCGGGGCGAGGAAACGGAAAGCTGGGAGACGTCCGAGCTCACAGATTATCTTCGGAACACAACCAGATCCGTGTGCTGGAGGGGGGGCTTGTACAACGACGAACGCAAGCCTGGAACCCAAGCTGGCTCAGACGGTCGAGCGCCAAAGCGAAGGAGAAGAGGTGCGGGTGGTTACACGGGCACTGGGCGCACCGCAGGCGGCAGAAGCAAACAAGTCCAGATTCTGCAGTTTGATACGCTGGGCGTCGTCCCGGGAAGCGAAAAGCCCTGGGCTCATCTGACTTGATCAGCAATTCGTTGTGATTCAGATATTCCGATTGTGTGGGAGAGAACAATGGAAACCTACATGATGCAGGCGGCGCGGAACGAGGATGGGGGAAAAGCCACCGAATCGGTATTGGGGCGTTATCGTGCGAGGAGCAAGTAAGATCTATTCGCCAATCGAGACTCTTTATGCCGAAACTGAGAGGGCAAAAGCTTGATCTTGCTCAAAGGTAAATTGGTATACATTATAATCACAGAGCACGAAGCCATTCTTATGTACATTGGCAGAGAAGCCTTCACCGGCACTCGAGTATCACCAATTTTGGCGGGGAAAAGAAATTATAGAAAAGAGGGAGAAGCGAGAAATGTTGACACTTGTTGAGCGGACGCAGGGAGAGAAAGGGAGGCTGTAATTTTAACTCCTTATTGGCTCGACTGAAAGTTCATAATCAACCAGATCGACGAATCTAACAACCTTGAACGGGGCCCCTCCCCTGAGTTGTCTCTCCTCCCCCAGGAGCGAGTACAATGTCTTTGATTCATCAGGTCTGTCTGGATTGTGGGTTGCAAGAGTTGTCTCAGTCTGATAGCCACGCGGATAGGAAGGCAAGCAACTTTCCGAAGCTGCGGCGGCCAATCGCGTACCGCAGTCCCAGACAAATCGATTTGATCTGGCGTCAGTTACTAGTCGGGGATGTCGAGAGGGGGGGGGGGCTGGCATAAGAAGAAACGAGGACGGCGTGCTAGTGACACCTTGCCTCGTGGTCTGGCACGCTGGGAAAGTGAATCAACGCACTTCGCCACGCGACAATGGGGCACTGGATGCAGTAACACCCCCCTTTTGAGTGTCATCATCATCGGCATCATCGATGAGGCGGAGAAAAAGTCCTCGTTCCCGACTTGGACCGGACCCCTGTTCCCGAATCGAGGATAAAAAGAAAGTGAGAAAAAGCCACAGAAAGCCTAGCGCTTAAGGCAATAGACCGGGACGCGAAATGGGGGCGCCCTGGTTGGTAGGAGATAAAGTCTTGAACCCATGAAGTCGACATTAGGATCCTTGGCCGTTGAGGGACGCATTCCAGTCAAGCCCATATGTCATATATCAACTAGTGGGATGAAGTTGAATGGGCCACACATGCCGCCATAGTTTGGTCATTGACCGGATCATCCGAGATACGATTCGGCCTAACCGTCTCAGACACGACTTGTGCCCGACAGTCTCATATGGTCGCACACATCCATGGGTAGATCCAGTCATAGGCCTCCCGATGAGGTTGTGCCGAGGGTCCCCGCAATCGGATGAGCCCTGAAAGTGGAACCTCGTCCGGAATGTGTCATTAGGGCGGGACGGGAGGCGCCTCCGTTAGCGGTCACATGTTTATCCCTCAAGTGTCCCTCTCGTCGACTAGAGTCTCCCAGAGTGGTAATGTCTTGTCAGAAACACTCCGCGAGCCTTGCTTCTTTGATTGAATTCAACGTCTTGGAAATTTTCTGGTGAACTTCTTTGATGCAACCATGCCCTCAGCTTTTTCAAAGGTTATCTCACATTGGAATTGAGACCGTACGGTGCGGCTTGTGGCTGACGCAATCGGCAAATCACCTTTTTGCTTGTTTTCTCTACCACAAGGAAAACACCAGCTTCTGCAGTAGAACTTTTCCTGTCCGAATCGCGATGATATACCCTTTCTAGAGAACAGGGTAACTCAAAACAAAGGCCAAAGTGCCATCAGAAGCCCAATAAGGCTGGTGTCAGCAACCGGCGTTAGAGTCGCATACTACCGCGCGGGTACTGTATTTCATGGGATGCAATATAAGTAGTTGCCAACCTTAGAAGTCAATTCCGCTTTATGTGGGCCATTACAGTTGCTCCGAGGCGGGAAACATCCTAGCAGAGAGCCGATCTGTGGAGAGCGTGCAGGTACCGTTGCAATGGCATCGAAAGACATCGGATGCCGCCGCCTAGATCCTAGCTATACTCTACCAAGGCAGAAAACTTTGCTGAATAGCTGTGCGGAGATCTTGAGAGTCGCCCCTCACTCGGACCACTATCGCTTCTGGACCTGCTTGCAACCTTCCGTGATGAGCTGTCAACAGCCTAATTGTCTCCACGTATTGGACCACTGTTGGTTGCGCTTTGTAACGATTTGATCAGCTATTGAGAGCATTTCAACTTGACAATGGATATCTGACCATTAATAGGCGGAATCAAACTGTTTCCGAAAGGTTCAATCACTCTTGAGGGGCCAAAGGTGATCAATATAAATACATGACAGAGTTCACGGACATGATCCTTAGACGCACCTAAATTGCGTTCAAATACACGATTCGTCTTCTCCTAAAGACGAGCTTGACGCCGAACTTCCAATATTATTCAAACTTGAATCTCTCAATCCTACTTTGGACACCCTCTCCAGCAATCATCATGCAGTTCACCATCGCCACCCTCATTGTTCTCGCCTGCGGCGCGGCTGCTCAATTCTGCGGTGTCGTCACATCACCTGTGCAAAGCTATGTTCCATGCACATTGGAACAATATCCCGTGATGGATGCCGAATGCACGGCAATTGGCGGCACAGTGTCTGGCCACAACCAAGAGAGCGGAGATGCTCGGTCCAACTGCATCACGTACTGCAACAACGTTCCCACCGGCGGACACGACACGACCGGCAACATCCTTGGTCGTCACAGCTACCACGTCTACGTTGTCGACACTTGCAGTAGCTGTGGCTACTGTGGCGCTCTGTGAAGGGTGTCCGCGAGATAACAAATCAACCAAATGACGAGACCAGCCATGCTGCTTAGGTAGCGAAAGAAGAGACAGACTGGATTTGGAATAAGGCTACATGTACGCACGAGATGGCTGGAGAGATGGCAGGTTCTGGCGCTCATAATTCAGTCTTGCCTCTTTTATCAAACATGTCTCTGTAGATTTCAACGAAATTCATCATACGAGAGCAATCGTTCGAATCCGTCTACCTTTACAGACCGTACTAGAATATGCAAATCTCCAACCGCCCGTTTGCTCATTGTGTGATGACAACTGAATTATTAAGTTATGAAGTATAGCTTGAAAACTGTGTAACTCATACCCACGGGTCTTACACTGACTTTGCGTACGGGACTAGATGCACAGATGCTTCTGCCATACTTGCATCGCCATGTGCGGTGATTCTAGTAGCCTGTCGTGCGCGACTTCACCTTGACGTGAAAGTTCTGAGGCTTGACGAACCATGCGTTGCGCGTCTTCCAGGCACCTCCTGGTGTAGCAGCCGCACCTTCAAGCTTGAAGTCAAAGTCCCGGATAAGTCTAGGAATGAGCTTTGACATTTCCAGGATAGACACATTCTTGCCAAGGCATGTGCGTGATCCCAGCCCAAACTGGAAGACAGTTACTGTTAGACATTATGTGCTCCAAGAAAGTGGAGTAACCATTAGCAAACGGGGGTTCATCTTACAGGCATCCAGTTTCTGTTCATCACGGAGATCTTCTCTTCGTCCTCAATCAGCCAACGATCGGGATTGAATTTCTCGGCATCATCTCCAAAAAGGGCCGTGTTTCTGTGGTGGACCCAGCTGTTGATTCCAACGACGGACTACGAAGGAAGGTTGAGTGGTTAGTGCTCACGAGTTATGTACTGAGAACATAGGAAACATTGACTTACTCCTGCAGGGAAGAAAAGCTCGCCAATGGTAGCGCCGCCCTCGGGGACGATACGCTCAAGCGGCAGGCCCACAGCTGGATGGACGCGCAAAGCCTCCTTGATCACTGCTTGAAGGTAGGGCATCTTCTGGCTTTCTTTGAAGGTCGGTGCCTGCGATAGCTCACCCCGACAGGTGAAGTCTTCAATCTCCTCGCGAAGCTTCGCCAAGGCATCAGGATTCTTGAGCAAGCTGTAAACAATGGCCGAAATGCTAATACCAGTCGTATCCGATCCGGCAAAGATATTGCTGGCGCAGCCGATGAGAAGATGCCAGTTGGTGAACTCAATGGGGTCGCTGGAGTGCTTGGCCAGGAATTTGGTGAGGAACGTCTCCCCAACAGCAGCGCCGTCTTCGGCACCCTTGACCTCGATGACCGTCTTCGGAGAAGCTCGCTCCTCCGCAATGGTTTGCGCCGTGAAGTCTATCACGTACATCATCTTCGCTCCCATACCAAGACGCTTAGTGATACTGGTAACCAATGGTGCAATGCACATATGCACGGAAGGAAAGATACCAGTCAAACTTGAGTATACCAAGCTCTTGTTGATGTTGTCAATGACCTGGGCAATGTCTTCGCCCCGGTCCAGGAAGCCGAGTCGCTTTCCGTAGGTCATCATTGCAACCGCATCAAAGGCGAAGCACTGGAACCAATGTCCAATGTCCACTGTCGAACCAGCCTTGGCAAACTCTGAAAGACGTTGGGAAAAGAGAGCACCACACTCGTCCACATACGGCTCATAGTTGACGAGAGACGTCATTGAATACGCGTTGGTGTAGAAACGTCTGCTATGAGCATGACGCTGTATCGAACGATCCGAAAACACGTTCCATTGATCCTCGTTCGGCTGGAATGGGATATACCACTCCGACTTCTGGAATTGTGTGCCGTGGCCATAGACCGTCTTGAGGGCTTCCGCGTCATTGATGCTGTATCGGTTCGGGCCATAGCGGACGATGGGCCCTGGCGAGAACGAATAAACGTCAGTACATCTATTACTAGCTCTTGCTTGACGCTCTCACCATATTGTTTGTGTAGTTCTTGGTTGACCTTCTCAAACCTTCCCTGTTTAAGCCGATGAAAATACCAAAAGTCTGTGTAGCGAGCTAGCAGTGGTCCGGGTACCGATCGTAGGGGGGAGCGAAGCCACTGAACAAAGGAGACAAGTGTCTGTGCTAGGAGGGCAAAACCTGCAAATGCCAATAAAAGTTGGGTATTCATCGCGAAGACGCACGTATAAATTCTAAGAAAGATAAATAGATGAAAAGCTGAATACTAATTGGTACAATGAACAATTTGTGTGAGAACTGGCCTCAAGCATTTCTCGAAAACAGAAGCACGACAATGAAGGGCTTTTATAGCAGAAGATCCATCGTATTTACCCATCGTATTTTAGACGAACCGACTCCGTCATGGATTGTCAGACAAGTACGCAATCAATCCGCAGCGTCTTGAAGTTGTAGATGTAAAGGCGTACGGCTTACGACTATCATTGGTGCATGACTTAAGACGAGTCATAGGCGATCTCAAAATGCTAGCTATGGAGACAGTGTCGGGACCGAAACCTTGTTCAAGTGTCGAATAGCATGGGTCGAAATAGTAAGACATCCTCCTTGCCCGCTATGCATGGACACCCAAGTGGATCGGCATATGTGATATGCAACCTCGGGGCGGATAGAAGCGTCAATGATGGATAGTCGGACTGGTATCTCATGTTAATACTGGAAGATTTCTCTTGAGTCAATTGACAGCGCTATCTGCGCAAGATTCATTCGCAACAATCCACAAGTGGAATGAAGAGTCTCATTGATCGCTTGAACTCGAACGTCTGGAAGCTATCATTCACGAACTTGGAGATTCTCGGTGTCAGACGGTGGAATCGTTGATCTTGGCCGGTGTGTTTTGGGTTTTCTACTAAGGCGGCGGGACTCGGGGATGAAAACTGTCCGAGACCGACGTCCGCCCCGCAATGCGATGCAACAGCCAGCTTGCGGCCGGCCGCGGAGAGGCGGCGGGGGTGGAGTATCGCGGTATTTGATTAGGCTGTTGACCGGGATGGCGTACGGCCAATTTTCAAGGCTACGAGACGGTGAGTTTATTAAGCTATCTCCTATGCCCCCGACACTTGCTTCCGTCGTCCTGTGTCTTCAGCGCGGAATACACTTAGTGAGCGCGAAACGGCAATTGCTCGCCTGTGTCGAGGCTCAACTTCACATTGTCACGGGAAGTTTCAACTGCGTCCGTACATGTAATGTGATGACGATCATAGAAAGAACATACATTCTACTGGAACGGGAAACTTTATCATCAATACTACAATTGCAACATACGGGCGTTCGTGAGTAAAATGTCATGGCTACTCCCATGCTAACAAAAGCGAGTCTTTGATTTAGGGTCTGGCGCTTACACAATGCGGGCAAATATACTCAGAGTGGCGAAATAATGAAGCCCATCTCCCCATTCTCTGTCTGAAGAATGATTAATGGGAAGAGGAATACAATCAATTGCTTCAAGTCACCATCACACTGCGTGCTACAGTGGTCATCTTCTTTCAATAATAGTTCTTCCATGACTTTCGCGTCAAATAGCAATTCGAGCTTAAATTACTCAACCCCCTGGTTGCTCTCATTACAGTTTCAAGAAACGGCACCAACTTCGTCTCACAACCTAAGATTCCCATACATTGCTTCCCTGCCTCTCTCGCCTCCCATTAAAGACATGTTAGTCAGCTTACAGGTCGCCGTTTTCTAAGCAAACCTTTTCCCAATCCCGAGTTGCTCGTACGCTAGAGTAAGCGGGCTGACTCGGTCTTTATGGTCGAGCTAGTTCCGCAAAGTCCATCAGCCAATCTTGCGAAACACATGTAACGTTCGATACTCACAACTATGGCGATACCAGTGATCGAAGAATGAGCGCAGTAGCTTGCACACGCACACCAATCCGCCAGGATTACGCATATGCGCCTAGAAAACGTGATTTCTTGATTTAACACTCGATCCTCGAATTTATAACCAACCAGACTCCGCGCACGCAAATCTTCAAAGCTCTAGCCGACAGCCCGCATCAGCAGCGCCATCCCCTTGCTCAAGTTTATCCGCTTGCCGAAATTAGTAGGTGACGGCAAGCGATCATGTAAACACAAATTACAAGTCGTAGTTGATTTGATGCAAGTTCACTGTGACTTCAGCCGCTACATATGCGCCCTTTCCTCTAAACAACAGGTGGAACAGCCAAATTTGAGGGAATCCTGCCCGCAGAGCCACCAGCCACGTTCTTGGCGGGGACGTTCATTTGTGATCCCTTAGCGGCCGTCTTGTATGCTTGGACATCGGCGTCCGCCTTGCTGATGGGTTGTTAGTGTTGTCAAATTCTGCGAGTGGATAAACCAGGGCTTTCTTACGGGTTGATGATCATGACCATGCCAAGCTGGCAGTGCATGCCTTGGGCGCAGTACATGAGCATGGGCTCGGTATTCTCAACCTGAACGTTGAAAGTTCCGACTGGAGAGCCGTCTGTGACTCCCGGGATGAAACCAGAATGAACGCCATTCGGCATCGTGTCCTGGAGAGGGTTACACGGGGCCTGGGTGTTCGCGGCCTGGGTGACGGTATGGTTGTTGGGCCAGAATTGGAACTGAACAATGTCGCCAGGGTTTGCCTTTACGACCTCGGGATAGAAGAGCAGAGACTTCTCACGAGTCGGGCTACCAACGACAACGGGGATGACCTTGGGCGTCGGGGGCGCGGGGCCCGGTGCAGGTGGTGCCTGACGCTCTATCGAATATGTGAATTACAAGCTATGAAAAGAGAGTTTCGTGATGTAAGTGAAAACACCTACCATTTAGAGCGGCGGCCAACGAGCCTCCAACGAAGGCGGAGAGATAGACGGCAACGATGCTGAACTTCATCTTGAATACTTTGACACTCGATAATCCTGTACGGAGTACTGGCTGATACGGCTGAGACGATGAGACGCTGCTTCGATATGATGACACTGAAAACACTGCAGAAGACGATGAATTGTAGGAGAGGGGTAGAGGACTCTATGATATTTAAGCTAACTACCACAGCATGCAGGATCTCAAACTATCAGCACCTTCGGGACATGCACGGCGACACCACTCGCCCACAAATACGAACCTTTTCTCTCTTAACCTTCCGCACTGGGCAAGCTTCTCCAGATCATGAGACCGAGTAGACTTAAAATCGCAGAGTTGGAGTAGTCGAGTTGCCGTGATGAGCAGGGGTAGCAGCGAAGCTTGGGCATCTCAAAAGATGAGATGACTCGAGTTGTCCAATAAGAGGTGCTAGGTGCCTCAAACGTGACATGTTTCGTTTCTTCGGCCGCACTGCATACCGAAGCATGCTTAGAAATTGGCACCAAAAGAATAAAGGGGGAATAAACATTAATTCGGAGAGGGGGGGTATTATCTCGCGCTTCTCGGACAGGAGAGGAGAGGCCGGTCAATCAAGAAGCTGTCTCCTTGTGTCAGGTCCTCTCGGCGTTGGGACGACAATGACCAGCAAGGGAACGAGGTGGCGGGCAACGCCCAACCTTGTCAATGAGCCGGTAGTCGGCTGGCTGAGTATGAAGTCTAGAGTCCTGTCACGATTACCAAGCTAAAGCTCGCAAACGGATGAAACGGTTGTGGAGGCGTTTCGAAAGATTGAAAGAGGCGTGGGCCCCGGCTGGCTCCTTCGGTTCCCCCTTGACCGTGGGGGATCTCCGAGCGTTGGGAGCTGCCACTGGCGGGAGATCGGCACAAACTGTTAACAGGTTGCACATATTGTTGGGGTGTTTGCGGCTCTGGGATTTGTTTCTTCGTCGCGCGCGCGAGACGAATTGAGTATTGACTCTTGACGTCAGGAGAGCTTTTACGCTGAAAATATCGGGAGATCGACGTGAAAGGGAGCGTGCACATGTCGTGATCGTGACACTTACGATTCTATTGCCCTGTTTGAGAACACACCTTGCCCGCCCTTGACTGTCTACAAGAATTGCTTCGCCGTTATTCTCCCTTCAAAGCCGCACTATTACATAATGATACAGGCTCAGCTGCTACCGGCAGTTCCGAAAGCTAGTGCTCTATTTCTCTGCGTCTCCGTTCCTTTTCATCCCATCCGGAGTCTGGCCTTCTTTCGTCTTGTCCTTCTTAACGCTCCTCCACTCGATGAAGATACAACCAAAAACTGTCAAACATCCGAGGACAGTGGCAATCAGAAAGACATTCTGGAGAGCCTTGTTGTAAGCTCCGATGATGCCGTCGACCGAATCCGGATAGATGCTCCGCATCGACTCCACTAGTCCGGAACCGCCCGCATCAATGACGACTGCCGGATTTACATTGGGAACGTTTTGGCTCAACTCGGAGATTAGTCTCGAATGGAAGATGTTTTGAGCGACAGCCAAAAACACGGTGCCACCGAGACTTTGCAGGAAAATCAAGAGAGACGTGGCTAGGGCTACGTCACGACCTTGGAACACGGTCTGAACTGCTATCAACGTCTGTTGCCCGCCAAGACCCACGCCCACTCCTAGAAGGATAAGTGAGGCAATCCTGAAGCACCTATTAGCATCTTGAGTGCGTTGAAACCAAGGGGCAAGGTTTCTACCAGAAGCCTGAACTCGTGTTTTCGTCAAACGAGTAAATCAACCCCGTTCCAACAGAAGCGATGACAGACGAAGCGATGAGTTGCGGGACATAGTATCCGATGTAGCTTGTCTGACAACGGATCAGTATCACGATGTACTTTCAGAGCACGGATAGTACATGTAGTGTCAACTTACCAAGAACCCAGAAAGTATTGTCGCCACTGACAAGGAAACAGATGATGCCAATAAGTCAATGCCACTCTGATAGGCGGAGTGGTTTTTGACTGCTTGTAACCAGATGGGGATGTAGTACACTTCGATAAAGAGAAGTGAGAACAGGAGAAGCATAAGCCAGCAAGCACAGGCCATCGATCTTTGAAAAAGGATGCGAAATGGGACGGTAGCTTTGTCGCCCTCGCGGAACTGGACTAGTGCCCATAAGAGGAAGCAGACCGCAAAGAGGCACCAGCACAAAATTATGCGCCAGTTGCTCCAGGGATAGCCAGTCCCACCCCACTGTAAGGCGAGGAGGAGACAGATGATCCAAGGTATGACGAGGAATGTCCCTACCAAGTCAAAGTTTGATATAAACTCCCGCACGCCCTGTGTCTGCTTCTTCGGCGGCGTCGGCAGCTTCAGGAGGAAGAGAACCACCAGGAAGGTGACACCCCCAAGAGGAAGATTGATCCAGAAGCACCATCCTACTGTACGTCAGTGTCTTGTTACATAAGAATGGTAAGGAGAGAGAAGGAGTCCTACTCCAAGTAGCCTTATCGACAAAGACGCCGCCAAGAGTTGGCGCTATGCACTGCGAGATTCCGCCCGCTGCCCCGACTGCCGCGGTAAACTGCGGGCGGCGGTGAAGAGGCACACTTCTAGCCAAGATCTGAGTCGCGGTTGGATTAGCAAAGAAGTTTCCGAAGAAATCGGAAGACGCCAAGCCTTATAGGAAAGACTTACAATGAGAGCGCCGGACATAAGTCCAGCTGCACCGACTCCGGAGATGGCTCGGCCGACAATGAGAACCACGGAGCTCGGAGCCACGGCGCAGACAACGGACCCCACCTCAAAGATGAAGAGAGCAACAAGGAAGACCCATTTTGCGTTGAACTCGGCGTATAATTTGCCGAAAAAGAGCTGGAACGAACACATGGTGAAGAGGTACGCGGAGCCGTACCACGCTACATCCGGTAAAGACTCAAACTCGGATGTGATTACCGGAATCGCGGTTCCCAAGATTGAGCGATCCTAGATGAGGATGGGTACTGTTAGCGATGCGCGTGCTGCATTAACAGGAAGATCTAAAGCCCTGGAAAGCAATTGAAACTTACAAGTCCAAAGCACAACACCGCGAGGAAGAGGCCGATTGTGATGATGGCGAGGCTCGCACCAGTGGGATACTCTTCTCCGGCGGCATCTTGGGCTGGAGAGGTCTTCTCTAGTTCTGTATCGCTAAACTGCTCTCCACTCGTTGGAGGTATCGAGTGTGAGGTTGTCGTTCTATGGACAATGTTAGCTCATCAAGCCCGGAACGGGTCTCCGTGGCCCCCATAGTAGCTGCAGTTTGAACCCACCTTGAATCGACAGGCATCTTCGCTGGTGGTAAGAATGAAATTGGTCAGATTAAGTTGTAAAGTGTGGCGCGGTTGCTTTTTGAATGCCAAATCTTCATTTCCTCTACCCAGCGACTATTTCCTTACATATAGTTATTCTCCATGATGGTAATGATATCTATCGCCTTTGGATCTTTCAACATCTGCACATGCAGATCCCACATCATGCCTACGGTCCGTACGGAGAATAACACGGAAGACAAGTCAAAGTAAGCATGCCAAGCCAGGTCTAGCGTCAGCAGCCACGCATGAGGGTCAGGACTCTTCTACCTTAATCGTTTTTAGTATTACATGTAGAAATCATTACAAAGTCCCCGAAACCGCGCTGATAGAGACTGGGGACCTACACACAGGCAATAGTGTTAGGATCACTGGTGCTTACAGTGGATACTTGGGCGCAAGAAAAAAGATCTTTGGATGTTGGCGGCCGCCCTTTACAAAGGAGCTTGGGCCAGAGTAGCAGTTTTGGTGTGAAAAGTCGGAGGTCGGAAGTTAAAGTAATCTCCGAAACCGTCCTCCACAATCGTAATGAAGCCAATCAAGTAGCTCCCTTTCATCCCGATTATCCATCTACGGATCTTAAGAATCAACCGGCCCCCGGACTCTTCCATGCCGTCCGTTCCATCACTCTCGAGCTTCCTCGCCCCAACGTTGCTAGCTAATTCGCGCCTTAACCAAAGTGCCCTGACTTTCTTTCAATTTTTTTGTCTCCATCTTCTGAGACACGAGTGCTCCGTAAATATCTCTAAGCTCGGGTTGTTGTTGGGAAAGATTACAAACGATGTCGCCAAACGATGACGCCAGCAGCCCCGACTTTGCGCATAGTCACGCAAAAAAGTCCCGAGCTTGCACCAATTGCGCTCGCCTCAAGATACGGTGTCGGTGGCAACCGGGTTCGGAACATAGCGAACACGCCGATTGCATACGGTGAGCACTTCTGCCTCTGTTGGCTACAGTTGTGTGTATCAACCAGAGTCCGCTGACAGTGCTGATGTGCCAAGCTGCTCCCGCATGAGCATACGATGTCAAGTACCGGAGCCGGTCCCGAGGAAGAAACGGGGAAAGTCAAGGTCAGTCCAGAAGCCCGATGATTTCGTCCGAGAGTGTGTTTTATTGCATCCTGCGGTTCAAGCTAGCTGCAGATCACCCGGCCTCCTTCTTGCTTCTCCCTACCAAGGTCTTTGAGCGGAACAAGACGCTAAATGCCTACTCCGTAGTCGTGTCACTGAGCTGGAAAAGAAGATAGATGGCCTGGTCAGCCTTTTTCAGACACAGCAACAGTCAGCAGAGACACAAGGGCAGCCGGCAACCGGGCCCAGCCCTAGCAGCGAGGACCCGCGCTTGATGCCATGCACTGGGTTGACTATACCAGGTGTCACCCATCAGGTAGGCACAGACGCATCGCCGAGTGTCAACAGTTCAGCCGGCACCCAAGATTGCCATTCTATGCCGACTCCAGAGGCTGGGTTTCCCAGCGGGTCCTATCAGCTCTTACCGGGGTTCACCATCGCTGCCGAGAAGGCTGAGGAGTACCTTTCCATCTACCGGACGCGTATGGTTCCCAACTTCCCATTTGTGCCCATCGAGCCTGAAGTTACAGCAAGGGACCTCCACAACCAGAAGCGATTTCTGTTCTGGTGTATTATGCAAGCCATTGTTCCCCAGACAGCCACAGTACAAAAGGCAGTCGACGACTGGGTCCGCAAGCATGCAGCTACGCACATCATAGTCCATA